TTGATATTCATTATCAAAAGTTTGAAAAGCAGAGGAAAAACGAAAACAATTTTTTTTTATGTTTATAGAATAATATTGCCTTTGTTAAACAGGACTTGTTGGGTAGTGTATTCGCATGGTTGTTAACAAATAATCTAGTAACATGCTCCTGGATGGGAGATCGAATACAATGGAAGACAAGTCCTATTATTATTTTCGAGTTTATTATTAAATAAAAAAACTATGAATGCAATAATTAATATATACTATAGTTTTTTTTTTTATTTTTTACTCGATCATTTAATATAAAATTTCCCCGCATTTTTTATATATAATAAATTGATTGACATTTCTCTGATTCATAGACGGATCATCAATTAATATTAATTAATATATTTTTTATGATACATATTTGTGGCTGAAAAAAAAAAAAGTTCTTTACAAATATACAAAAACCACAATGGAAAACATTTTGAATGAAAATAAACATCATGACAATACTTCTAATGATGAATATGATGAAAATACTTCTAATGATGAATATGATGAAAATGATGAATATTATTTTAAAAGAATGTGCTTTTATGGAGAATGTCCAACATGCAAAAGATATAATACCTATTGGAAATGGTGTCAATCATGTGATACAAAGCTATTAACTGAAGGATGGACTAGTGGCAATGAAACATTAGATGAGTTGATTAAAAGTATACAACTTAAAGCAACTCATTATAAAAATAATCATTATCTTCAATGGATTCCTTATAATGATTTAACAAATATTGAAAAGATAGGTGAAGGTGGGTTTGCAACTATATACAAAGCTACTTGGTTAAATGGTTTAAAATATATAAATAGTGATCATGAAAGAACTAGTAAAGATGGGACTGTAGCATTAAAAAAACTACCTAATTCACAGAATATTTCTGATGAATTTCTTAATGAGGTAAATTATTTTATTTTTCTATTTATTTTCAGATTTTTTAAATATTATTCTGAAATTCAATATATTTTTTTATATAGTTTAAAATTTATGTCACATTTTATAATGAATCATTTATAAATAAAATTTATGGATTAACACAAGATCTAGCTACAAAAGAATATATCTTTGTAATGAAATACATGGAAAGTGGAAGTCTTCGAGATTATGAAGATCAATATTCAAAGGGAAGAAAAGAAGAATATGGGGAATGTCCAACTTGCAATAAATACAATACCTATTATTCATGGTGTCAATCATGTGATCCAAGGCTATTAACTGAAGGATGGACTAGTGGCAACAAAACATTAGATGAATTGATTAAAAGTACACAACTTAAAGCAACTAAGTATGATAATTATTATCATCTTGAATGGATTCCTTATAATGCTTTAACAAATATTGAAAAGATAGGTGAAGGTGGGTTTGCAACTATATCCAAAGCTACTTGGTTAAATGGTGAGAAATACACTCATAGGAATAAAATAATTAGCAAGGATATGCCTGTGGCATTAAAAAAACCACATAATTCACAGAATATTTCTGATGAATTTCTTAATGAGGTGAATTATTTATTTTTCTATTTATTTCAGATTTTTAGATATTATTCTGAAATTCATTATATTTTTTTTTATATAGTTTAGAAATTACGTTACAATTCACAGTGAATCATTTATAAATAAAATTTATGGATTAACACAAGATCCAGCTACAAAAGAATATATCTTTGTAATGAAATACATGGAAGATGGAAGTCTTCAAAATGATGAATATTCAAAGAAAAGAAGCAAATATTGTGGGGAATGTCCAACTTGTTATAGATATAATACCGATAGGTCATGGTGTCAATCATGTGATCCAAAGCTATTAACTGAAGGATGGACTAGTGGCAATGAAACATTAGATGAGTTGATTAAAAGTACACAACTTGAAGCAACTGAGTATAGTAATTATTATTACCTTCAATGGATTCCTTATAATGATTTAACAAATATTGAAAAGATAGGTGAAGGTGGGTTTGCAACTATATCCAAAGCTACTTGGTTAAATGGTTATAAAAGTGTAAAATATAATAATAAAAGAACTAGCAAGGATATGCCTGTGGCATTAAAAAAACTACATAATTCACAGAATATTTATGATGAATTTCTTAATGAGGTAAATTATCTTGTTTTTCTATTTATTTTCTGATTTTTAAATGTTGTTCTGAAATTCAAATATATTTTTTTATATAGTTTAGAAATTACATTACATTTTATGGTAAATCATTTATAAATAAAATTTATGGATTAACACAAGATCCAGCTACAAAAGAATATATATTTGTAATGGAATACATGGAAGATGAAAGTCTTCAAGATTATGAAGATTCATATATTAGAAAAGAAGAATATGAGGAATGTCCAACTTGCAATAAATATAATACTGATTATTCATGGTGTCAATCATGCAATCCAAAATTATTAACTGAAGGATGGACTAGTGGCAACAAAACATTAGATGAATTGATTAAAAGTACACAACTTAAAGCAACTAAGTATGATAATTATTATCATCTTGAATGGATTCCTTATAATGCTTTAACAAATATTGAAAAGATAGGTGAAGGTGGGTTTGCAACTATATCCAAAGCTACTTGGTTAAATGGTATGAAATACACTTTTAGGAATAAAAGAACTATTAAAGATAGGACTGTGGCATTAAAAAAATTACATAATTCACAGAATATTTCTGATGATTTTCTTAATGAGGTAAATTAAATTATTTTTCTATTTATTTTCAGATTTTTTAGATATTATCAATTATTATTGTTGTAATTAATATTTTATTTATTATTTAGTTCAAAAATTATATGAAGTTTCATGATAAAGCAGAAATAATTGATATTTATGGATTAACACAAGATCCAATTACAAAAGAATATATATTTGTAATGGAATATATGGAAAATGGAAGTCTTCAAAATTATTTAACTAAAGATTTTAAAAATTTAAAATGGAAAGACAAAATTAGAATTCTTTATTATATTATTAAAGGTTTAAAAGATATTCATGAAAAAGAAATTATTCATCATGATCTTCATAGTGGTAATATTCTTCAAAAAAACAAATGGAATTCATATATTGCAGACTTGGGATTATCATACACATCTAGTCAAACATCATCATCAAACAAAAATGATATATGTGGAGTATTATCATATATTGCACCAGAAGTTTTAAAAAAACAACCATATACAATGGCATCAGATGTATACAGTTTTGGAGTTCTGATGTCTGTAGTATCAACTGGCCAACAACCATTTAATAATTTGGCACATGATGAATATCTTGCAATGAATATATGTAAAGGTGCAAGACCTGGATTCTCAAACAATACACCAAGATTCTATATTGAACTAGCATTCAAATGCATGGATGCTAATCCAGATAAACGTCCAAGTGCTGAAGAAATTTATTGTATTATTTATGATTGGTATGATGTACTTATAGATAAACTTCAAGATAAATCAATTAGAAAAGAGTTTGAGAAAATGGATGAAATAAAATTTGATTCTTCAACAATTACTACAGTAATTCATCCAAATGCAATTTATACTAGCAGATTATTAAATTTTAAAAACCTTCCCCAACCTGTGAATTCCAATAAAGTAACAATTATTAGTAATAATAATGGTAATTAACATTAATCATTCAGTTATTAATTTAAAATTTAGTATTGATATTAACATTAACATTATTATCATACTTATAGTTTCTCATCTAATGGATATAAATATTTAGATTATTTGGTAAAAATTTCTTACTACATGGTCTTGGTATTGTTTATTACTTTAGATGATGCAATTATTTGTTATTGAATAATTGTAATAGGTATGTGCAACAGCGGGGGTAAAGGTATTAGATAACAATAAAAAGCTAAGTCATGCTTATTTATTTTATTGGTTTTTGTTTTATTTAAGATATGTAATTAAAAATATAAGATAAAAAATTTGCCAGAGCAATTGCATGGAAACCAAGACTACACCAAAGCTATTATTGAAGGGAAAGGAATAAGGTTTTGTGTGTGATTTAAAATTCTCTTGTGCCAATTTAGAATCCCGTATTTCTTCACTTATATATATATATAAATATATTGATTCTCTTTTATGGGTAGCATTTTACAATTTGGTTGTATTACTTTGTAACTTGGATAATAAAAAATTTGATTATTGAAAAAACTATCAATAATATCTGATTAGAGGTTGCGTAATAACTCTTTCCGAGTCAGATAGTTTAACCATCTAAAGTGATTAATTAATATCATATTAATTTTTTTGGTGGCTGCGTAACAACAAGTTTTTTCTGATTGCGTAATAATAATATACAATAATTCTTTCCGGATTAAAATTAATTAATTGAATACCAAACGCAAAGTTGTATACCCTATTATGTAAACGATAGATACTAATATCGTAAAAGCAAAAATATTTTGATTTATATATCTTTTATCATCCAATCATTTTATTCAAATATGTTAGGAACCTTTATTATTTTGAGAAAATCTATTTAATGGGATTTTAAAAATTGATGCGTATGGTATGCGCTACACAATAATAAAATAATAAAGTAATCCACCAGGAAATTTTTTCTATCGCCATACATGAGCACATATGGGCCTGTGTTCATTAGAAACAAGGAAAGTCAATTTACAGTTAATAACAAACATTTTAAACGGTCAAGTTACACTTTTTAAAAAATTAATTTTTTATTTTTTTCATCACCGCCAACAACCCCTCCTCCAACTCCTCCAACTTTCTCTTTAAGGAGGATATTTCCTCCTCCGCCACCTATCAACAATATATAAATTTTTTGTAAATATAAAATTTATTTCTTCAGATCAAAAAAAAAAATCAATTCTTCTTCTTACCTTTAGCTTCTCCTTCAGAAGCTCCTCCACATCCGAGGCCTTTTTTTCAATATTGATTTGTGCAACCGGCACATTTGTTATTCTCTTTGCACGGGTTGCGTACTCCAACGTTGATATAGTTTCCTCAAGAAGCGAGTCTTGTAATAGACGAGTTAAGTTACTCTCACTTAATAATAAAATGAAAATCATTATATCAACAATATATAAATTTTTTGTAAGTATAAAATTTATTTCTTCAGATCAAAAAAAAAAATCAATTCTTCTTCTTACCATCAGCTTTTCCTTAAGGAGCTCCACCTCCACATCTGAGGCCTTTTTTTCAAGATGTGCAGCAGTGTTGTGACCAGAAACTCTTTTGACTTCCCGAAAGCAGAAAACTAAACCTAAACCTAAACATAAACATAAACTACTAACCTAAAACTAGATTCGGGTGGTTTCTGTTAGTTTCTGTTTCTGGTTTTCCCTAAACTCAGAGTTTCGGGTCACAACACTGATGTGCAACCGGCTCATTTTTAATTTTTTTGGCTCGAGATGCGTACTCCAATGTTGATATTGTTTCCTCAAGAAGCGAGTCTTGTAGTAGGCGAGTTAGTTTACTCTCCCTTAATAATAAAAATAATAATAAAATGAAAATCATTATTCCAATTTAACAATATTTAATTGATTGAGTTTATCCTTCGTAAAACTCACCTACGCCTTACTACCACTTTTATCGCTCTTTATTCGTCCTGACATTATCAATATGATACAAAAAAAAAAAAAATAAAAAAATAGAATAGAATGATCAATAATCACCACCACCATTTTTTAATAATAACGACGAGACCATTCTTATGGTAAATACTTACTCTATCCTATTTTTATCTACCTGTCTTCTTGCACGGTCTTTTGGCGGCATGGTTTTTTGTTAGAAAAAGTTATTTTTCGTTAGAAAAAAGATTTTAAATTGAAAAAATTATTTTTCGTTAATTATTTTTTGTTATTAAAAAGTTTAGAAAAAAGATAATTTATTTAAAATCTTTTTTCTAACGAAAAATTAAGTTTTTTCAATTTAAAATCTTTTTTATAACGAAAAATAAGTTTTTTCAATAAGGGCAACAACTGGATTTTATTTATAGATTAATTAGAAAGTGATGCCCTTAGAAAAATTTTTTATATATATCAGAAAAATTTTATCGGCTATTACTATCAATAGCCGATTAACCGTTTAGGGGATAATCTTTTTTCTAACGAAAAATGTTTTTTTCAATTTAAAATCTTTTTTTGATACTTTTTATACATGAAAATTTATTTTATATTGTGGTAAAAAAAAAATTTACGTCAGATCAGAATTTTTTCATTTTATGACGGAATCATTGCATGTTTTAGTCGGCATTTAAATCACTAATTCACATGAAAATTTCAGTTTTTATTACTCTGATATAAAAAATTATGTAATAAAACATACAATAACATTCCATGTATTTATCGCACATTCCAGTGACAATATCAAGGTCATTGATGTGTGTTTAGTCATTATAACGCTACTTGATGTTGTCGTAATGATCTTTTCGTTCAACTAACATATTATTAGGGCTTGTTTAAATTGTTATTATCTATTTGAGGTCTTTTAAAATCACTTATTTAGAACAGACAGGTATCCAGAAATTAATATTTCTTGAGGAATACCAGTACTTTATATATAATAAATGATGCATTAGAACCAAAGTCGAGAGACGAAAATATTTTGTAGTGTAAAAAATGTTTCGTCAAGGGCACGTGCGACGAAATATGACGAAAAGTGACGAAATTCAATTTATCTAGATTTAGTATTAGCTAAACATTTTTTTTATCATGTTTCTGTCTGTTTCACATTTATTAATAGACTTGGTTTTTCGTTACACAGTCTAATATATTACCCACAAGTGATGAACGGCCTAATACTAACCAATATTAAATTAATTAGCGACAATGACGACATTATCACAAACTCATCATCGCAATCGTTATCCATCAGTTTTTTTAATTAATAATATAAATTAAAATCTCAAAATATTTTCTCTTATATATACCCACCCTTATTAGTTATTTTTTTAAAAAATAAAATAATAATATTACAGTGAACCTTTGTTTCAACGAAGTATAATTAAATTTTTGATACAACGAATTTTTAAAAACGTTGTTACACATTATGAAAACATTAATATAAAAATTCGTTGAAACGCGATTAGTAACCTTGTTTCAACGAATGTTGAATAAAATTTTCTTATATGTCCAGCCACTTCGTTGAAACAAGGGCAGACTGTATATTATTCAAGTTATTCAAATTATTCAAAAACATTTTCTCTTATATACACCTTCACTAGTTATTTTTAACTATCATCGTTTATTCATCACCATCTATTTTTCTTCTCTTCTCAAAAGCTATTTTTTTAAGATGCCAAAAACAAAAATAAAAAAATAGATCGAGAAGAGGAATCAGGCAATTATAAATGAGCAAGTATCATTAGAGCATGGTAAGAAGAAGAATTGTTTTTTTTTGATCCGAGGAAATAAATTTTAATTTTATTTATACATACGAAATTTATAGTTTGCTTGTACGCAACCCGTGCAAAGAAAATAAAAAATGAGCCGGTTGCACATCTTGAAAAAAAGGCCTCAGGGGTGGATGTGGAGCTCCTTAAGGCAGGGTTGGCAAATTGACTGGTCCATTGAGAACTGATGGACTTTGAGCTGGTCCATTGCCATTAATAAAATACTAAATATAGTTAAAATGTTACACTAATGGACCCAATAGACCACACATTCGCCAACCCTGACTTAAGGAGAAGCTTATGGTAAGAAGAAGAATTGATTTTTTTTTTGATCTGAAGAAATAAATTTTATATTTACAAAAAATTTATATATTGTTGATAGGTGGCGAAGGAGGAAATCTCTTCCCTGAAAAGAAAATTGGAGGAGTATGAGGAGGGGTATTAAATTTAATAAAAAAAATAAAAAAATAATTTTTATTAAGAGAAACTTGACTGTTTAAAATGCTTGTTATTAACTGTAAATCGACTTTTTTTGTATTAAATAATTTGTTTCCATTCATATTTACTATTTGTTATTGGTGGCGTAAATAGTTGTATTTAGATTAATTAACATTTCAGACTTTCGACTATTTAGTCGTCAATTATTATTGAATTGTAATTAAAAAAAACATAATAAAAAAAGAAATTTATTTCCTTTAAATTATTATTTCTCGTAAAAAAAAACAATCAGGTAAATAAATATACCAAATTCCATAATCACAATAAAAAGAATAAAATTAATAACAATATAATAATAATCATACAGTAGATTGATAATTTACTCATTTCTTAGTCTTTATATTAGCAAAAGAATATTTTCTTTTAAAAAATTACAATTAAATTCTATACTTCATCTTGTGAAACTTCATCCAGGATTTATATTAGCATCAATTAGTAGGCATTGGAGATTATTTAATGATTTTGTAGCAATTAAATACCATTTGATTTTTTTAGAGGTTGCAATCATCCAAAAAAATCCTTAGTCGAATACTAGTTGGTCAAAATTTTCTTTAATATTTCTTTTTTTTTGCAAATTACAAATTCATTTCCATTCGAATCTTTCACTTTTTCAAAATACTTCCAACAAAATCATGTGTTATGATTCGTTTATTTAAAGGTCTTTTGAAACCACCGCTTAAACCATTGGAACTTGAAGCCAATGAACTATTGGACCTTGCATTGGAAGTGTTTATTCATTCACATGTAAAATTGTCATCAACAACACACTACTATTGTCTTCATCATCATATTGATGGTATTAATACTCTTCCGCATAGAAATTTTCCATTTTGAATGATAAAACACAAAAATCGTAATTGGTCAGACAATAATAATATTAGCATAGTATTAGTATTAGTATTAGTATTAGTATTAGTATTAGTATTAGTATTAGTAGTATTAGTAGCCGACTAATTAGGTCGACTAGGATAGTCAACTATTATTTGTTCAAAAAAAAGTTTAGTCGACTATTTTAGTCAATTCCAACCTCTAGATTTCTTCAATTTTTGAAGCACAAGTATTTGTGGGACAATTACGTTTTGATGTATGAATTGATGCCATAACAGACCAGCTGCAGGTAAAGAAAGAGGATAATTTGCGATTTGATATTGATTTTTTTTACTGATTTTCAAAAACGAAAGGGATTTTGAATCATTGATCAAAAGATTGTTCATGATTCTGATAATTTTAAGAAATTGATTGCTATTATTCCCTGAAATAAACATTGAAAAAATGTTGTTGCTTTTTGTATAATGTTTGTTGGATAATTGCCATTGATTCCTTTGATTAAAGGGAGGGTTAATCTTTTTAATAACTACCCCATTATTAATATAGTAATAGATTAATAACCGTCCATCACTACCAATCTGTCACCCAAATCCACTCAATTCATTAACTTGGTCAACCTCATTGATCTTTTCAATTTACCATCATTATTCTTGTTATTAGAGTCTAATATTGATTAGTTATGAATAAAAATATCTTATTATTAAATAGATTGACGTTTATCTTCATCATAATCATCATATTGCTACCATCATTGTCAAGTTTGTTAATATCATCACCTAATATTCTGCTAAAATGATATGCAATAGATGACTTTACTGAGATTATTATTTAAAAGAATTGCACATAGTAGGAATTATATTTTCATTACTCAAATCTTCATTTTATAATTTCTGGTAAATAGTCATCATCAACAAAAACGAAAAGTTCACTAATAGTTGGCCTTTTAGATGAACCACTATCCCAATACTTTTGCATCTTTTCTACATACCCTTTTACCACTCCTGATAATATTGGTGGCCTTGATCTATCACAAATATCAAAATGGTGGACGTCCAGCAAATAAATTTCTGAATCTTTCCCTTTTGAAAAAGTTCACTTGTAAATTCTATTTGATCAACTGGTTCAGTTCACATAATCTTAAATAATATAATGAAGTACATAAATATTTAAATTGTGAATTTTTATTAAATTAAAAGAATTATAATTTAACACATGCTGCTCTGTAATTCCGGACCCCTAAATTATACATTTGTACACTGATCGCATTACAATTTAAATTCCACATTCCTTCATTCTCTTGTTTTTGCTTACTTGACTAAACATTTTAACTGAATTTCAAATACATTCTTTAATGTAAACTATATAACTTTGTTTCTTTTTTTGTATAAGGTGCTCAAAGACAACATTATTCTAGAAAAGAAATTGTAGAAACTGGAGAAGATGAGTTTTATGATGTTTCATATATACAAGGCAACTGAAACTTCCGAGTTTGTTTGTTCACTGAAAAAACTGAGGGTTTGTGACACGTTTCTAGTCTGGTGGAGTGGGCAAAAAGAAAAGGTTTCATATTGGAAAGGATAGAGTTCATTGGATAGAGGGTATTGTAGGAGAGACATACATATTTTTGTGAACATGAAAGTGTCTATAATTCAACAAGGAATTGTGTGTCATCATTATCTTCAGGTTATGTTAACAAACAGTAAAGCTAAATTTCACATCATGTTGATATTTTAGAGATTAAGATGGATCAGAAGAATTGTTCCTTGTAGCTGATAAGTATAATGATGAAAAGGAGAAAGTACAACAAAATACACATTCTCACGTTGGATTTTTAAGTGTATATTGGTATGATAGCAAGGATTTTCTTGAAAAAAGCCTTTATGTACTTGAACAAAAATTAATGTATGGCATTAAAAAAACCAGTGTTAACAAAAGATAAATCAAAGGAATTATTTAATTATTTGCAAAATTTTATTGATGATGTAGAAAAAGAAAAAGAAATCGATCAAATCCCAAAAAACAAAAAGGTAAAGGCTGACCAACAATTAAATAAATGAAACCATCATTTGAACAAGATTATACAAAAGTAAAACAACAAAGACGATGCTTATCAGAAAAATCGTAAATTATGGATGTTAATAAAGTAGTTTGAATAAATGAATAAAACAATTTGAATTAAGGTTACTTTCTGAATATCATCATTCTTGTCTAACAAATTATATCAATAAATAAACAAACAAATAATATGCTAATTAAAGGTATTTATTATATATCGTAAAAAAATATTATTAGTTTTTTTTAGGTATTAAAAATTTCTCTGCCAATTTTTTAGCTGCTTCTTTCCCAATGACGGCGGGATCCATGGATAAAGAAGTTTCCTCTTGCCTTTTTTGCTTGAATTGCTGTTAATTCTTCTTTGGTAAGTTCAAAATCTAGTGAATAGGCAAGACCTGAAAGTTAGAGCCTGGCTTCCTGTAACGATTTATTCACGTTGGGATGAGTTTTAATATCATATTTATTTAACATCCCTTCAATATGTTATCGATGGACTATAATTGACAAATTTGATATTAATGGAAATTTTTGTAATTGGTGTAAATTGTTCATTAAATTCATATTGCTCCAAATAATCCAAATGAATCACTTTTTCCTTCTGAATTTTTTCTTAACTTTTCTATAATTTTTCAATCTTATTGTAGGTTCATTTAGGAAGAGGATAAGATAATACTATATGACTAATAGCTTGAGCAAATTCAGGCCATTCTCTCTTCCAAGACTACATATAGAAAGCGGAAGGTGAGTCCAAGTAATTATCCACTTGTTGAATACTTCAAAGACCTTTTCAATATGCTTTTGTACCTAAATTTGGAGATTTTTGCTCATTTAAAAGGTCATAGGCTGCCAGCAATTCCTCTATAAAAATCTCATTAGGATTTCTATAGAACATTTTTTAATTCATTAATCTAATTCCCTACTATTTCAGGTATCTGATGAGAATGAAATCCATTTGGTGAAGGATAACTAGAGATTCCTCAAATAATATATCAAGATCAATTAAAAATTTTTTTATTCTTTCATATTCATAGAACCACTCTCTAAATTTAACCATTATTAATATCTCTATCTCAGCTTTTCATTTGGTAGGAATTCTAAGAACGTTTTCCATTATAAAGATATTCCTCAAGAAAACTCTTTGAGCCCTCCAACTCTTGAACAAACCATTGAGTAGATTGAAGATGTATTTTACATCATTCTAGGTATTGTTTGGCTGTTATTGATTGATATAATCAGTGATTGTGATGGGCTTTTGACATTCGTTGAAATCACATTCAATAATGCTGCATAATTTTCTTGATAATTTCATTTTTATGTTCAATTGATCATCTTTAACAGACCCATTGTATCCACCACTGCGAAGATAATAGGCAATATTTCTTACATTAAATAGATAGAGATTCAATGAGAGGCTTGAGGGTGAATTAAATTTCCCAAAAGTTGTATTGTCAAAAGATGTTGCTGTAATATGAAAAATATGCAGGCCACATGGAATTCTGCTTGTATTTGCTCCGGATCTTTGTTTAAATTAACAACATATAACTTATGTTATCAATGAGCCAATATAGACAATGTAAAAAGGTATTCAAATTAAATGATCTAATGGTTTCCAACACAGAGATAGATACATTAGTCGAGGTGTAGAGATCCAAGTCTTCCGTGTTTAGGATTTTGAGGATAGGTTCCTCTCTGATCACATTCCAGTGTGAGACATATACAAGATTTTCTTATCTCCTTTTGTGCTTTCATCTGCCAGGATTCCATATAAAACAAATATAGAGAGTTCGGAAGACTCTCAGTAATTGTGATTTCTACTACTTCTTTGTTCCATAAAGATAAGATACCTTTTGAGATCCAAGTCAGGGGAATGACCAGTCAGAAAGGCAAAGAATTCTTAAGATTGCTTGCCAAAACCTCTTAATTACTGCAAAAACTCTGCTGAAACTCTAATAAACAATTAGTGTGTGTATCTTGCCAAAACTCTGCCAATTGCCAAAACCCCTATATGCGAAACTCTACTGAAACTCTAACAAATAATTATTGTGTAATTTGCCAAAACTCTGCTTATTGATTTCTGGATGATTTGGTAAGCAAATACACATTGAACCGTTGAAGATAATGACATTTGATCTATATTGCTAATTTGGGACACTAGAGCAATAAACTTAGGTGTCTATGCAAGTTTATTCTCCTTAATTTTTTTGGATCTCCTTCTGTCATCTTGATTTCTTTTTGAACCTATTGCAGTCAGTGAGATTTCCAAATAAGAAATTCCTAAATATTGTAATGATTGATGATCTAGAATTCTTTAGGGAAAAATCAAAACAAAGATGATTGGCTAAATTTTATGCAAATCTTTTTGTTGAAAAAAAATAATGCTTGCTTTTTATGAAGAACTTGGCGAGAGCTTTATTAAAGGGTCATAGAACTTCCAAAATTATGTAATATGTGAATTTTCAACTGCTTTACAAGTCCATTAATATTTTCATAATCATAATAATAAAGTTACTATACAAACTTAATAGCTTTTTCATAATGGCTAAATACACAGTTCACTATAATAATAATGGATCTTTCTATAAACAGATCTTGATATATAACAGACTAAGGTTACTTGTCGAAACTCCCCCAGAAATCAATTGGCAAAGTTTCATTAGTTGTTTATTAGATTTCAGCAATTACTAAGGAGATTTCATCCACAACCTTATAACAGACTGAAAATTTAAGCCCAATTCATATGTCACATTACTGTCTATAATGGATTCTCTCTATAACAGACATTTTTTTGTAAGCCAAATGGTCCATGAAACTGTTGTTTGATTTATTAACCAGTCACTCATTCATTAACAATTTATAAATAAATTCCCTCGCCTATTTTATGTAACATAATTACAGTTCACTCTCTCTATAATGAACAAAAGCAAAAAATTACATAAGGTTTGTTATAGAGAGAGTGAACTGTATAAATAAATTTATCCAAATTTATGTAGTAAAAATAAATAAATAGTTTTAATACTAATATGATTGAAACTACAAAATAAAAGTCAGTTAAAATAATAATGAAACACTTAGCAAAAGGCTTTCTTTATATGAATATATATTAATATGTAAAAAATGTTCCTTTGCTGTTGATCTTGATGCATGTCTCCAAGATTGATCACTTTTAGTTTCACAGCTTCAAATTATTCTTAGGATATTCTTGAGCAAGCAAATAAACATGGTAAAGTATTGGCAGTTGGAAAAAAAAGAAAAAAGTATTAAAAAGCCAACTTCTTGGTACATAATTTCCTCAATTTTTAATAGAAGCATACTTGAAGGAATTAATAGATTATAACAAATTCTTAACAGATTCCGATGGAACAAGTTCCATACTATTTGTTTCAATTATTATAATTGGGGTTTTTTTAAAATTTTTTTTTTGTTTAAACTCCATGAGTCATGTATGAATTGATCAATGAATTTTTTTCCAAATCAATTTCCAAATTTGGAAAACTCACTAACTGTATTGATCTCATTCATGAAATATAAAGATTGTTATTTCATTCTTGTTTTTTCAATTTAATGGCCAGAATTCTCTTCTTTGAAGTTATTGATTCCACTTTCTTGGTCAACCTTTCATTTTCACTCAAATAATTTTGATTTATTTTGGATCTCAATGGCACTAGAATCATGTTTTCCCTGAGTATATAGAACTAAATCTAGTACCTTTTTTTTGTAGGTATGAAATAATCTCACCCTTGTAAATATAAACACCGTCAGGATAAACCATAATTTTGTGCAATGTAGAATGTGCAAGGATTTGTTTTTCTGGTAGCATGTTGATTTTATTTATTAATTCTTATTTTACCTCTAGAGCTTTATTTTCTTTTTCAAATGATCTTATGTGAATGGAAGATTCTACAATATTTTTTTGTTTTTCTGATTATACATGCACTTTGAACTAATGTGAGGTAGCTTTTGGTTAATTCCGATTGTTTTAAATTTTATGGCCAAATGTTTTAGCTATTCTTATCAATTAATTGCAAACTTTTATATACAATGTTCACCAATTAATTCATTTTAGACTGTATATAGAGACAAAAATTGTATTTTTTTTTATTATGAAATTTGGTTTGCAGATTGTATGTAGCATAATGATTTTGTCAAAAACAGGTAACTGTCCTGAACCCTGCTGTTTTATACAACAAATGACCATCAAATAACATCAAATGACCTAGTCATTTGGGCCATTTGCCTGGTTGTTTGATGTTATTTGATAGCCATTTGTAAAGATGCAATTAGCCACAATTCAATTTTCATATGCTGCAACTGCAACCACAATTCAATTTTATATGCCACAATTAATTGAGGAGCCATCTTTAGTCATTTGACATCACTTAGCTATACATGGTTCAATAAGTAATACATAAATATAGAAATATGAATATAGATGTGCAACATTGCACGATGTGTGACTATAAAATATATTGTGTATATATACACTTCCTGGTCATAAATATAAGGACACTTGCAGATCATCAGAAATAATTGAATAAAGAAACATGAAAAAAAATAAAAATTTTATTAACCTAACCGCATTTGCTTATTAAGTAAAAAT